TATATGTTGTAGATGTTAAGCAAGGAGACCATTCAGCCCATCACATACGAATGCTGTTGCTTTGTTCTTCTCCACGTCGATCAACTTCAAATTTAAGATGGTCTCTCGTTTGGCCATTCTCTGGGGCGAATGATTCCTTGTTTCAGCAACTCTACATTCCCCCCTTCCCCCCGACCATCGTTCATCCCCTTGGTCATCAAGAATCTCTCTACCTCTGCCTTAAAACTATTTGAAAATTCTGCGACTGCTGCCTTTTGAGGAAGGAAATCCTGAAGACTTTGATGAATACTTTCATGGGATACGGGCTTTGCTAGTGAGGCCAGCATTTGTTGCCCATCCCTAATTGCCCAGAGGACAGCTAAGAGTCAGCCACGTTGTTGTGGGTCTGGAGTCACATGTAGGCCAGAACCAGGTAAGGATGGCAGTTTCCTTCCCTAAAGGACCAGATATGTTTTAACAACAATACATTATAGTTTTCTAGTCACTGTACTGAGACTGGCTTCATATTCCAAATTCATTCATTGAATTTTAAGACTACATTGGTGGAATTTGAATCCATCAATTCGTTAGTAATCCAGAGGCCCAGGTTAAAACTGTGACATTATCAGTAAATCACCTCTTCCCCAAGTTGATCTTCTGTCATTTCTCCAGTTATGGTTGCATTGTGAAACCTACAAACATTAAAGGCCATTGATTGATCCAATGTGACCCTCTACTTAGATTGAGAACTCATTCTTGTTCTCGTAATGGGAGCGGTGTAGACAAGCTACATTTCTTTATCTTCCCTCCATATTGCTAAATATTTAATCCACTGGAATTCTTGTGTTGCTGGTGTTCTCAGACAGACATTACATGCGAGAATCTCAGGATCCCTACAACTAATGTTCCCTTAACCTCCTCTTCATGGTGTGCAGTCATTTCCTTGAAACTCCATGGTCCCTTTTGGATCACTCTGCAGTCTCGCATGCACGAGGAAGGGACTGAGTTCAATCTGTTAGTTCCCAGTATAGTAAGACCATTACTTTAGGGTGGCATGGTGGCTCAGTGGTTAGCACTGCTGCCGCACAGCACCAGGGACCTAGGTTCAATTCCCCCCTTGTCTGTGTGGAGTTTTCACATTCTCCTTGTGTCTGCGTGGGTTTCTTCCGTGTGCTCTGGTTTCCTCCCACAGCACAAAGATGTGCAGCTTAGGGTGTGTTGGCCATGCTGATATGCCCACAGTGTCTGGGGATGTTGCTGGCTAGGTAGGTTAGCCCTGGGAAACGATGTGTCACAGGGATAAGGTTAGACTGCTTTTTGGAGAGTCGGTGTGGACTTGATGTGCTGAATGGCCTGCTCTCCCACAGTCAGGATTCCATGATTCCTGCACAGTCTGCATATAACCATTTGAAATGTCGCTCCTCCAAGGCTGGCCTCTTGTGCATTCCAGTGTTTAATCATTCAATGACTATTTGTGTGTGGAATGAACTGCCAAATAAAGTGGTGGGAAAAGGCATTTGGATAAGTATGTGAATAGGAAAGATTTGGAGGGAGCAGCAAGGGGGGGCTAGTTTAGTTTGGGAACACTGGTTGGACTGAAGGGTCTGTTTCTATGCTGTGTGACTCTAAGACCAAAACCCTAAATGCTGAAATTCTTTTCCTAAACCTCTTCCCCTGCAGGACGTGTTCTCAAGCCTCCCTCTGTCATCCATCCCATCACTTTGTGACTTGTCTGTCTTGTTTTAACAGGGCACAATGGATCAGCAATCACACTGGGCCTGACCCCCTTGGTTCTCCTGGAGAAGCAAACGTATCTACAGAAGACTACAGTCCAAGAGAAAATTAGGGGACTCCAAAAAAAAAATAACAGGCCCCCTATGGCATCCCAGTTCAGTGCCCCCTCCCTATGCTCTCCTCCCAAATCCAAACCACCAGTGTCTATCCTGAGTAGGCCTCAGGCTTTATGGCAATAGGGCATGCTGTCTGGATATTGCAACTTAATACTGAGGGCCTGTCAGCTGCCAAGGGAAACCTCATCGAGTGCCTTGCCAACCAACAGCTCATCGACCTGATTGCCCACGATAGAGCTTGCGTACAAACAATGCGGCATATTACTGACAAGCTGCCCCTTGACAGACTCAGTAGCAGACTCATCATCTTAAACCCAGCCAATGAGGAAGCCATCACTTGGCTACAGGGATTTGCATTCACTGAATAAATAAAATGCCGTTTGACTCTGAGACGGAACCCCTTGGGACGCTTTTGCGATGTCAGAAAGGCACTCTGTATGCAGCGTAGTTTTTGTTGCATTGAGGCTGGAGATACAGCGACATACATTTGGCTCAGGATAACAAGAAACCTGGAAGGGAAGTTGAAGCTGTATTTAATTCTGTGCTATCATTCTTCTCCACAGAGATTGCTGGGATGGGAGAACTTACAATAGCCATAATCCTATCAGGCCATAGCCCTGCTCTCTCATTAGGGCACTGGTGGTGGTTTAACCTGAGGGTCACCATGCCTCTAGTGAGGGGAGAGATTGAGAAGGACAGTCCTTCAAGTTAACCACATTTGCCCACACTGTTGGCATCACTTGACATCACAAACCAGCCGTCCAGCTAATTAAAGTAACTGACCCCCCCACTACCCCGCAACAAAACCTTTAGGGGTCAGTCAAGAGGGCATTCTGTTCAAAGCATAGAATTATAAAATCCCTACAGTGTGGAAGCAGGCCATTTGGCCCATCAAGTCCACTCTGACCCTCTGAACAGCATCCCACCCAGAAATACACCATACCTTATCCTGTAACCTTAGATTTCCCACGGGCAATCAAACTAACCTGCACATTCTTGGACACTGTGAGCAGTTTAGCATGGCCAACCCACCTAACCTGCACAGTGGGAGGAAACCCACGCAGACACGGGGAGAACGTGCAAACTCCACACAGACAGTCGCCCGAGGGTGGAATCAAACCCTGGTCCCTGGCGCTGTGAGGCAGCAGTGCTAACCACTGAGCCACCAGGTTAAAGTCAAACACTTGCACTTGTTAAAATGTGACAGTCTGATTTAATTTTTAAAAAGTTACAATTAGAACTTGTGACTACACTACATCCAATTAGAAGTGACACACAAACAGATGGACCCACTCCGTCTGATCAATTTTAGGCTTTTGGCCAGAAATGGAACTCAGATTGACATCAAAACATCTGACAAATAAGTCACGTTTGAATTGTTTACATGTCAACTTTTTAAAAAAGATTCGGGTTACAAAATTATTTCCGAACATGATTGTCTGCTTTCTGATCTTCTGGACTGCCATCCTGCCAGGAGCCAGACTGAATCTGCTGATCTATTCTGAGGCCCCACTCTTAAAACTGACCTTCCTCAAGTTGTAGTCTGCCCAAATTTCCCCCACTCTCTCCTCTGCTGAGTCACAGCACCTTTCAGGACTTGTGTTTTCCTGGGCGTTTGATCACCATTGACTGCATTCCTTAGCTTACACAGCCTCTGAAGTCTCACCCTATGGTTAATGTGATGCAACGAGGAACCCTGTATTGTAAAGTGGGAACTTGCTATTTGTCCTTGAGTATGTTCAGCTGCTTTGTGCCTTCTAAGTTTGGAGGTTTCTCTCACAGCAAATTCTCAACGCAAAGTAGGTCATTATGTTTCGTTGAAAACTTATGCATTTAGCAATTGCATTTGCGAGCAGTAGCAGTATTTATAGCTGTAATGACTAATTCATGAACCAAATAACAAGGGGATTAAAGGCTCAATTCCCCTGTGCGCCCGGAGACTTGAGATTTGAAGTTGATGACATAATGAATCCATTCTGCCATCTGGGAAGGCAATTATTGCAAAGTGCTTCTTGAAAACATGACATGGTTAGTTAACACAGAGGATTTCCAGCTTAAAGAGGGCAGAAAGTCATTGAGCTCTTTAATGTTCATTCATAAACTGATTGAAATAACCCAAATTACAGTCTCCATGTCATAATAGCTCCATAAATCCAAGAACATTATTCAAACAGCTGGGGAAGGCCACTCCCCACCCTCTCTCTAGTGCCCTGGCCAATAAATCACCCCAACAAGCACATCACAAAGACAGATTTGATGGTTATTGTTGCAATGCTGTTTGTGAGCTTGCTGTATCCCCTACATTCCAGAGGGTGGCCACTCTTCAAAATTACTCTGACCGTCAGGATTATTAGCTCTTCCTGTGATCGTGAAAGGCACTACCTAAACGCAAGTCCTGCCGACAAGTCGACTCAAGCAATCCTCAATGGGCTAGGCCAACTCCACTGCCTCTCATTCCCATGACGGGAATCTCTCTGGTCTCTTTGAAGCGCAGTGCCTAATTAAAGCCAAAATTTTTTGGCACTCTTCATGCCTGGAATTCACATCCCCAAGTGGCTGAGCTGGGTTGGGGCAGCCCAAGCATAACTCACCTGGGACCAAAGACCACCCTTCACTGCACTCACTCTTCTGTAATTATAAATTGTTAATGTACTTACATTTTGACTTACGAATTACAACCATGTTTTATTCATTAAGCAACATTAAGAATAATTTTCAAAGGTATTTTTCTTTCTCCTTGTATAAAGCTCCTACAGCATCATATCTTGCATTCTCATCCACATGAAACGTAACCAAATCTCTTCCCTCCCCAAAGTCCTAAAGACCCACACTAAAATTCTTGACCACATATTCAGATTCCTTCCTTCATTTCAAGCTCATCCAACTTCTTCCAGCTATATGCCACTCAGAATGATTCTTGGCTTCTGAAACCCCAATATTGGAAGATGCCTTGTTCACTATTAATAGACATGAGGCCTCTCAGTCAGAAAGTACTCCCGAATCTCAAGCACTGAATCAAGATGCACTTTGATAAATGAACAGATTCATTTAATTCACTTCAAAACTTGCTATGGTGTGATCTGAAGTCTGGGATTGCTAGTCTAGTACTGAAACAGAACACCAATATTCACAGCGCGAACCTTCAGTAAATTGTCTCCTGCACTGCGACTTTCAGTTTAGTTTTGTGCCTAGCAGCAGCGGCACTAGTGCAAGGCAGGGGAGGACTTGCCCGGGGTCCCACTGCGAATTTGACAAGTTGCTTCCAAAGACGACCTTGCGGTGTCGCTGCTTTTTCCACTTGCGTCTCCGTTCCCACCTTCCCGCTGATTTCCTTCTCGCGTTCCTGTTAACCGAGTGCCTGATTTTCTTGCAGGATAGGGTGGGCTTCGGGGGCATTTGGACAGGAAAGAAGGGCTTCCCGGCCAGCAGGGTGCGTGTTTCCACCCAGTTCAGGTAGTGGGAGTACCTAGTGAACAGGGCGGTGTAGTTACACGATTGTTTGCAGAAGCTCGCAGCCCCAGCTATGATCCAAATCTTTGTGCGCTTGTCCTGGCATTCAAGTGGGGCTCCATAGCCTCCCTGAGTTAAAAGAAGAGTTGGAATCAATGTTACTGTTATTACTTAGTGCGTTCATAGTCATAGAGCCAAAGTGATGGCCTCGCCAGTTGGACCTCTTTAAGCCTGTGCTCAAGTTTAGACAGCGCACACTTCTCGATTATCTGAGTCCTTGCTTGGACAGTACCATGGTGGGCCCCATTGAGGTCAATGCTTGCTCGGGTTGGGTTATCGCAAGAGACAACAACAAAATGGTTGTGGTGGCAGTGGAAACCACTCTGGATTTGACCCTTTTAAGCATGATTCAACCTTCAATACCCCAAGCCTATGGGCATCTGCCATAGGAGTCCTTGTAGTGATCGCTGACAAGAAATTCAATTGTGTGGGGCAGTACAAATTACATCCCACTCTTCCTTAATATCTACACTCAAGAATGCAAGGAACCTTATGAAATTTCTTCGATTATCTTTGACAAAGACAACGTCCACGTAGAACATTTCCTTCAGAAGATCCAAGATTGAGGAATAGTCTGTATGGTCAATGAAAGGAATGGGTTACATGACTTGCTTCAAATAGAGTCATACAACACGGAAATAGACCCTTCGGCCCAACTTGTCCATGCCAACTAAGCTGAACTCATCCCATTTGCCAGTGGTTGGCCCATATCCCTCTAATCTTTTCCTATCCATGTACCTGTCCAAATGTCTTTTAAATATAATTGTACTCACCTGTACTACTTCCTCTGGCAGCTGGTTCCGTACACGCACCACCCTCTGTGTGAAAACGTTGCTCCTGATGTCACTATTAAATCTTTCCCCTCTCACCTTAAGCCTGTGCCCTCCAGTTTTGGACTCCCCTACCCTAGCGAAAAGACGTTGACTATTCACTCTATCCAATGCCCCTCATTATTTTAGAAACCTCTGTAAGGTCACTCCTCAGTGTCTCATGCTCCCAGGGAAAAATGTCCCAGCCCATCCAGCCTCTCCTCATAACAAACCCTCCAGTCTCGGCAACAGCCTTGGGGCGCCACGGTGGCTCAGTGGTTAGCACTGCTGCCTCACAGCACCAGGGACACGGTTCGATCCCACCCTTGGGCGACTGTCTACGTGGAGTTTGCACATTCTCCCCGTGTCTGCGTGGGTTTCCTCTGGGTGCTCTGGTTTCCTCCCACAAAGATGTGCAGGTTAGGGTGGATTGGCTATGCTAAATTGCCCGTAGTGTTCAGGGATGTGTAGATTAGGTGCATTATAGGGGGATGGGTCTGGGTGGGATGCTCCAAGTGTCAGTGTGGACTCGTTGGGCTAAAGGGCCTGTTTCCACACTGTAGGGATTCTAAATAAAAAAATAAATGTTTTTTGCACCTTATCCAGTTTAGTAATATCCTGGTCTTGTACTCAGTACTCCAAATATGGCCTCACCAATGTAGTGTACAGCCCTAATATGACATCCCAGCACCTGTACTCAATGCTCTGACCAATGAAGGCAAGCATGCCAGACTACCTGTCTGCCTGTGAAGGAACTATGTAGCTAAACCCCTAAATCTTTCTGTTTGATAATACTCCCCAGGGCCCTACCATTAACTGTGCAAGTCCTGCCCTGGTTTGTCTTCTCAAAATACAGCATCTCACATTTATCTAAATTTGCTACCACTCAGCCCACTGGCCCAGTCGATCAAGATTCCATTGTACTCTGAGATAACTTTCTAATGTTTGAAATCTGTAAGCCGCTATTTCTTGATCTGGGCTGCGGTGACAGAAGGTGTACTGCCTCGGTAGTCTGCAGTCAGAAGGAAAATCAAAATCAATCTAGAGACTCCTGAAGGCTTTTCCTTGTAAGAGGTACATGATTGCTCTCAGCCACCTTCAATATTCCCAATGCAATTTCTCAAATATCCCACTAAAATCTAGATTCAAAAATGAACAAGTGTCACACGGGTAAGTTTCTGCTGCTCTACCCAAACTGTAGCACAATCGGAACGAGAAATGGGAGAAAAACATAAGAAATAGGAGCAGAACTGCTCTGCCATTCACGAAGAACATACCTTATTCTCAGACACACCATCCCACACTGTCTCCACATATCTAGTAAGCGCTCACTTGAATACTCCATGTCTGAACATCCATGAACCTTTGGGATACAGAATTTTCAAGATTCGCGACCCATTCTGTGAAGATATTGTACCTCATCTCAGTGCTACAATAGTTGAAGCCTTATTCTGATGTGGAGGTACCGGTGTTGGACTGGGGTGGATGAGGTCAGAAGTCACATGACACCAGGTTGTAGTCCAACAGGTTTATTTGAAATCACAAGCTTTCGAAGCGCTGCCCCTTCGTCAGGCGGAGTTACTCTGAGACCGTGCCCTGTTGTTCTACATTCTACAACCAGAGTGTGGGGGGGAACATATTGACAGGAACTCAGGGTCACATGTACATGGAGGAACCCAATTTGAGATTTAACTGAAGTTTGCAAAATCATGAGGGGGTCCGGACAGAGTAAATAAGGAGGAAATTGTTCCCATTCACAAAAGGATCAAGAACAAGAGGACACACCTTTAGAGTAAGTTGCACAACCTTTTTCCACGTGTAAAGACCGCACTGCCTGGATGTGCAGTAGGGACAGGTTGAATCAATGCCTTCAAGAGGGTATTCGATGATTATTTGAACAGAACCAATGTGCAGGGTTACGGGTAGGGGCAGGAGATTGGCAGTAATTCACAATGCCCATTTGGAGAGCTGGGCCAGGCTGAATGGCCTCCTCCTGCACTGTAACCATTCTATGATTCTACAGGGTGGGGGTTAGCTCAGTTGGCGGGACAGTTGGTTTACAGTGTGATGCTGACAGTGTGGGTTCAATCCCTGCACCAGCTGAGGTTACAATGAAGGGCTCTCCTTCTCAACCTCTCCCCTCACCTGAGGTTTGGTGACCTTCAGCTTAAACCACCCACCGGTCATCTCTCTGTAGTGACAGAGCAGCCCTACACTCTGGTAAGGTTATGGCAACTCACACTCCACCTGTAGCTCGCTGTTAATAGAATGTACAGCTTTGAAAACAAATATTACCATGCAGAGAGACTGTTTCTTGTCCCAGTTCGTCACGCAAATCAGATTTTTCCTCAGGTTCTCAGGGTAGAACTTTTCACAGATTGCAAGCCTCTGATGCCCTACATTCTGCTTTACCATGTGGTAAATTGGAGGCATGGGACCTTGAGCTGTGCACAGAAAGCAAAAGGGGTTAAAACCCTCAGGACATCTGCCGACTCCTAAGGCTGAGTTTAACTCTGTGAAACCGATGAGTTTAAACACGCAAGCAGAAACAAAAAAAAAAATCGGAATGTCTTAACAGATTTATTCTTAGGTATTTTCCCATCAACCTGTTCAGAGCTGGAGGAGGCAAGACTTCAACCTGGTTCCCCTGGTCCAAACGTAGGGACATTACCACTGTGCAACAAGAACCTCAGGAACAAAAGGTTTCCTGATTTGCACTGAATGCGAGGCCTAATATGAGCTGATTTTGGACTGTCCCATTCCCCTGTACTCTTCCCATACCCTTTTATAACCATTTCTCCACGAATTATCCAGCATCTTCTTGAGGCACAGCCGTTGGTGCACTGATATCCCATTGTCTAAGGAATTCAAAGGTTTCAGGTTCAATTCCTGCCAGAAGGTAAGGTGGTGGTATTGTGATAATGTGCTGAACCAGTAACCCCTAGGCACAGTCTACTGCTATGGGGACACAGGTTCAAATCCCATTATAGCAGCTAGTAGAATTTAATTTTGGTTAATAAGATTTGGAATTGAAAGCTGGTCTCAGCAATGGTGCCATGGAGCTATCGCCTATTATCAAAGTGTGGTTCCATTAATGCCTTTAGGCAAGGAAATCTGCCATCCTTATCTTGTCGTTATTTTTCTTTAATTATTCATGGGCTGAGGGTACTGCTGACCAGGCAGCATTTATTACTCGTCCCTAATTGCCCCAAGGGCAGTTAAGAGTCAACCATATTGCTGTAGGTCTGGAGTCACACATAGGCCAGACCAGGTAAGGATGGCAGGTTCCATCCCTAAAGGGCAATACTGAACCAGATGGGTTTTTCCCCAACAATCAATTCACGGTCATCATTAAATTCTTCCAGATATTTATTGAATTCAAATTCCACCATCTGCCGTGGCAGGATTTGAACCCAGGTCCCTAGAATGTTATCTGAGTCTCTGGATTAACAGTCCAGTTATAATACCACTAGGCCATCGCCAAGTAAGTCACCAGTGGAATAATGTAATCGAAATGACTAAAAAACCTGACAAAGTAATAATTCAGGGGTTGTATTTGGAGTGTAGGTTATGTATTAGTGGAAGCCCATGTGTCTAGCAGAAGGTACAAGTCCAACAATTCAGGTTACCATTCTCAGTGCTGAGGCAGTACAGCATTGTCAGAGATGCCATCTTTTGGTAAGCCATAAGCCCAATCTACCAAGTGCAGTAGATGCACAAATGTTGTAATAAGATGCTGGGTTGGTATTCTGGATGGATGAGATCATTGAGCACAAAGATCCTTTACTCATATTAGCCAGGTTTGAAATTGCTCTCATTATTTTTCAACTGCACATCATACATTCCTCAAAGGCGCAGGACCAAGAGTAGGCTATTTAGCCCTACCAGTTAATAAGATGCTGCCTGATTTCTATTTTTACAACATCTGCCCACCCAGCTTATATAATCCCTCAGTAGTTTTGACTGCTGAGTTTCCAATTGGCTCCTACCCTCAACAGCTTTTTGGGGGAAGTGTTATAATTTCTTTATAACCTATTTGTTCACAGGATGTGGGCATTGCTGGCTTAGACAGCATTTATACTCTTGTGAGTCACTTTCTTGAACCATTGAAATCCACGTGCTGTAGGTACACCCAAAGGGCTCTTAGGGAGGGAGGTCCAGTATGAATTAACAGTGATAGTTCCACATCAGGGTGCTATGCAAGATATGGGAGAAAAAAAACTCGCAGGTAGTGCTCCCATGCATCTACCGCCCTTGTCCTTCTAGATGCTAGAAGTTGCAAGTTTGGAATATGCTGAAGAAGCCATGACGAGTTGCTGCAGTATATCTTATAGACGATACACACTGTTACCATTGTGTACCGGTGATGGGAGGGAGTAAACATTAAAAGGGTGGATGGGATGCTAATAAAGTGGGCTACTTTGTCCATTGTGTGTAGGAATGGTTACTGTCATCACCACCGACTGGCCCAGTTCCAATTTGAGGACTATAGCCCATGTTATCCGAGGCAGTAGTTTATTTGTATCAACGTGTCAAACTCTCTGGCAACATCATATTTCCTATATACGATATAGGCCAGAAGGCATTGGAGAGACGTTTTGCCTCTACAGGAAGGTGAGATGTGTGATAGGGACACCAGTGCACACTAATAATTCACATATCCTGCAACTATACCACTGGCCTAAAGTGCCAGTCATCAGCGTGTCTGTAAGAAGGGAAACATACACAGGGCATCATTGAAATACAAGTTAATTACCTAAACTTTTCAGTTGCCATCCAGTAACCCAGCAATTTTCTACCGTGTCCATATCAAGGTGCTGGTCGTCCGGAAAACAGATGGGTGACACCAGGTTGTTGAATATAAACGGTTCTCGCACCAGAACAAGAGCAATATCATGGTCTGGGATTTTAACCCTAAACAGATCGTACACAAAATATCTGTGCAAAATGATTTTGCGAACGTTATAAATGATTTGCATGTCATCCTGCTGAAGTGTCCCAGCAATGACGACCAGATTCGGGTAGAGTTCACTGGAGCTGTTGGATGATTTGAAAAGCAAGAATGAAATTGTCAGCAAACAAAGAACAAACTGCAGGTACCAGAAACTGAAGTTAAAATATAACCTGCTAGAAACTCACAGCAAGTCTAAATCGAATCCGAATGGAATAATTTCAAATCAACACCTTTGTCCTGTCTATGTTCCCGTCCACTTAACTCCCTACAATTTGGGAGCAGATTTAATCTCCTTTTCCCTTTTAAATGCCTTGACACCATTTCTTACGTTTTCTTACCATTTAGCATTTTTGAAAATTCAACTGCTTCTGACAAAAAGTAGTTTACACAACTCTTGGCTTTTCTTCCCTACCTGCTTCATTCGTGTTCAAAAGGGACTGACTTTTCTCTGAACGCGAATCGAACAGAAGGGCACACAACCAAACATTAACTTCAGATAAAGGTTAGTTCAATGCACTTTCAGCATTTTTATTTTAGGGGTTTTAAATGCCCAAAAATAACGCAACTGTGGTTCCCAAAAGGCATATGGCATGTCACAGAATCCCTACACAGTGTGGAAACAGACCATTTGGCCCATCGAGTACACACAATCCAAACGCTGCGGTGGGGGGGGAAGGCGCAGGTGAGAGATTACCAGGGGTAGGCAGGAAGGTGAAGCAATCAGATCAGCCATCATCTTATTGAAGGGCGGAGCTAGCTTGGGGTTTGGGGCTGTTGGTGGTGAATAGCCTTATTTGAAAGTTGACAGCTGCATACAGACTGGTTGTTGCACTGCAACAGAGCAGAGATGGCATGGAGATTTTGTGCTTCATTGACTGCAAAGTGCTTTGGGACACCCGGAGGTCACAGAAGGGTGCTGTAAAAAAAATGCAGGGTAGAGGTAGATAGGGAAAACTCCAGGGTTCTTGGAGCTACAGGAAGTAAGATGACGCACGATGTGCATTATCGAATTATAATATTCTGGTGTAGTTTTCCGTAACTGAATTACCACTCAGATACTAGATTGAACCTACAGGACTTACCAATTTGCTTGAAAATCAAAATTAAACAGACAGATTGCAGTTACAGAGCATAGAATCCCTACGGTGTGGAAAGAGTCCATTCGGCCCAGCGGGTCTGCACAGGCCCTGCAAAGAGCTTCCCGCCCTATCCCTGTAACCCTACATTTCCCATGGCTAATCCAACTAAACTACACATCTCTGGACACTACAGGGCAATTTAGCATGGCCAATCCACCCAATTTGCACATCTTTGGATTGTGGGAGGAAACCGGAGCACCCGGAGGAAACCCACGCAGACACAGGGAGAATGTGCAAACTCCACCCAGACAGATGCCTAAGGGTGGAATCAAACCCTGGCGCTGAGAGGCAGCAGTGCTAACCACTGAGCCACCGTGCTGTCCACAGTAACCTCTGCACATATCCTCAATCTTGCAGGCTGCTCCTTGCTGCTGGTCATGTGGTATCGTCTTGGTTCTTGGCTTATTACATACTCAGCTCTTAAAGCATCATGAAAACAATATTACACTTTGAAAATTACTTGTCAATTAATTTGTGAAGAGGCATCTTTGAGAGACTAATCTCTGCTGTTGAAGTGATGCTGTTTAAGTTACTTGTTAAGACCACAACTACTGCAGAGCAGAAATATAATCTTCCAACTGCTGAACTATCCCCTGTGGAAGAACGGATCTACTTAGGCCATCCTATGTTTAAATGGAGACCAGTTTCTCTTGCTTGGGAAGCTTAACTCTAGACTGCAAGCAATAATTATGAAATTGCACAAAAGACAGAGATACTTACAACATGAAAACACAATGTGCTGTTGTCAAAACCCACCATCTGTTCAGAATAACACCACCGCACAGATACCTCCAGTTAAACTGCAATTGGACTTGCCATGGGAACTCTCCAGGGCGTATCTCTCTGGCAAAATTGTTTTCATATTTTATGTTTGGCACACCGCATCCTGTAGAATAAAGTAGAATGGATTTGTAGATTCAAGACCTATGGTATCGGAACTTGCTTCTTGTTGGTCTTGTTTATTTATCTTGTTATTATCTTGTTTGTTTAGGCACTCACTTGCCAAAACATTTAAACCACCATATCTGAATTATGATGCACTATTTAGTTTAACATCTAACTAATTCTCCTAGTTTGAGGTTCCATTAGCACTGGTTTGATTCCACCCTCGGGCGACTGTCTGTGTAGAGTTTATACAGCCGCCCGGTGTCTGTGTGGGTTTTCTCTGTGTGCCCCGGTTTCCTCCCACACAGTCCAAAGATGTGCAGGTTTGGGTGGATTGGCCGTGCTAAATTGCCCATAGTGTCCAGGGTTGTGCAGGCTGGGTGGGCTAGCCATGGGAAATGCAGGGATAGGTTATGGGAGTGTGGGTTCTGGCTAGGATGCTCTTTGGAGGAAGAGTCGGTGTGGACTTGATGGGCCGAACGGCCCACTTCCTCACTGCAGGGGTTCTATTCTATGGTTAACCGCAGCTGTAATATCAGGAGTTTTACACTCCCAACACAAACTAGGCAAGGATGGGATGGAATTTGAGAACAAGTAGCCTTCCGCTAAGAAAACTCAAACAGAAATTGGATGATAATCTCTTTATGTTGTATGACTGTTAAGAAACCTCCCAGACTCAATATATACTAATTTTATTGAGAAAACTGCTGTTCGTAGAGTTATACAGCACAGAAACAGACCCTTCGATCCACCAGTCCATGCCGAGCATAATCCCAAATTAGACTAGTCCTCGACAACAAAGGTGCAGGGCTGGATGAACACAGCAGGCCAAGCAGCATCATAGGAGCAGAGAGGCTGACGTTTCGGGCCTAGACCCTT